TTGTAGAAAATTAGTTGGTAGAGTTGGTTAATTTTATTGTAGAAAATTAGTTGGTAGAGTTGGTTAATTTTATTGTAGAAAATTAGTTGGTAGGGTAGAGTTGGTTAATTTTATTGTAGACAATTGGTTGGTAGAGTTGGTTAATTTTATTGTAGAAAATTGGTTGGTAGAGTTAGTTATTTTTATTGTAGAAAATTAGTTGGTCGAGTTGGCGTTTTTGTTGGTGAGAAATTGGACACGCAAACGTGGTTGGTGAAGTAGCTGTTGGTTGGTAAGGTATTATTGGGAGAAGTTTCATTTGTTGGTACGCGGGTGGTAGTTATTTAGTGGTTATACGGGAGAGCTGGAAATACGGTACGGGGTTGTTACGAGCTCAACGACGATAAACGTAAGGTAGCGAACAAAGTAGTTATCTGTTGCGTTGGAGGGTGGCGAACGAAGTAGTTACCTTTCAACGTAACACAAACGTTTGTCGGTTGGGTAAAGCACAGGTGGTGCAATATTGGTGCAGAAGACGGCTGGAACCAAAGGAGTCAACCCCACATAACACCCGTGTTCGAAGGATTCTACATTGTTGTCAAGTGAAGAAGTTGAAACAGTATCCGCCCGTACGTGGTCACAGCACTGGCAGGAAAAATTCTGCACACTAACCTCGAACTTTTGCTTTTATTTTGGTTTTCCTTATTGACATTGAATATTTATTTGGTATAGTTTTCAGTTTACAGAATAAAATTTTTTTGATTTGTGTCTACGTCTCAACCTTGCCGCTAAGTACCCGCTACATATATATATAATATATATATATAGTATTGATAAAAATATGTCGCCCTTCTGGCACTACTTGATCTCAGATATCAGCATTTGTCATGAGTTTCTGGTCTAGCCTTGCAGTGGTTGTAGTCGTTTTTAGCGTCATCAGCATATGTCAATTGCGGGTGGTTTTGTCATGAAGGCTGGATCTGTTCGTTGGAGAATCATAGGGCTCAATACTTAAACGGCTGTTGTCCTTGGTGTATATTTTTTATCTCATAGGACACTTACGCCAAAGATTTTCAAATTTACTGCTCGGGCCATGCTGTACACACATTGATATAAAAAAAAGCTTGACAACATCGCAAAACGGACTGCTTATGCAAAAACCGAGAACCCCGAAAATTTAATCTGGAATTGTTCTATCGTATCTTTCTCATAACACGCTCTACTGGAAGCAAACAAAAAAATGACGTCAAGCATCCATTGTATTCGATGTAGGTGGATTCCAGTGAGCGATCGTTTGCGGCGTAATAATACAGTCTTATGATGTAAATGCTTTCAGGTCAACGTTCAGATCAGACGCTTCATCTTTTTCCCTATGTGTAATTCAATGGAAAAGTATTTAAGACAGAACTAATGTAGGTGGCTGCAA